TTTATTACTTCATTCATGAATCAAAGTGAGATGTCCTCTTTCTGCTGTGCCCCCTTTTTTCTTAAATAGCCATATTATTTGTTGTCCTGCAGGTGAACATGGAAACAGATGTTGTGACTGTTGGCACATCAGAAGGCTTGCAACAAATGGTTTGTTAATGTTCAGATTTTAGATTCTTTGGTTACTGTATAATGTTCCGAGTGTCATTCAGTGTTTCTGTTATACATCGTTTAAGGAAATTATGGTTGCACTTCACTTTTGTAGACCAGGTCAAACTAAATATATTTACGTTATATGTCTAGGAGAAACTCGGCCCCCGACCAGTCAATCTAGATGGATTTTTCGGCCCTCAACAGGGTGTGCAAGGAATGGTAAGAAATTTAGTTTTTGGTCATAGATTAACTTTTTATTTCAGCTAACCTTTTCTAAGACTTGTTTTATGTTTTTGACAGGTGCAATTAAACTTGATGGCCCCACGTGATAATTACTACGGAAACCAGCAGACCATTCAAGGACTAGTATGCCATCTAATCATATTAGCCAAAATACTAGTTCATTTCTTTCACTTTTATTTTATATACTCAAGTAGTACCATGACAATGGATTGTTGATGTTTGACCTCCTGTAGGGCCAGTTGAACTCTATTGCACCCACTCATGATGGTTATTATGGCACACAACCGCCCATTCATGGACTGGTATTCGTCTTTATTATAACTAGTGTTTTTTGGGGCGATTATTATTTTGTTTCAAAAATTGAAAAAACACCTCTGGACTTTTAAATGTACGACCTTAATTTGGCTTCTCGTATTAGTAATTATTGCACCAATTTATTTTACCGATCTGTTAAATCGTGTTTAATCTGTGGTAATTAACCATGTTTTCTTTTTTTTTTCTTCAAGGGTCAAATGGATTTTTTCCGTGCTCCAAATTTCGGCTACGCTATTCGGGTTAGTGTTACTGGAGAAATGATTTCGATTATTTAACATCTATCTTATGATTCTACGAGCTTATACACGTTATTTTTTTCAGCAAGAGGAACCGAATGTGAGATCTACCACCCAGTTGCATGATGATGCACCGAGACATGCATGAACAACCATCTTTCTCCACAGCACCCTTAAGGTAAAGTGTTTTTTTTTTTTTTTTTTTTTTTTTTTTGAATATGTGTGGAATAGAAGAGCGATTCTGATTACTTGATGTTTATTCATAATTTATGTATTCTTGTATTGGTTTATAAACCTGTCATAAACTAAAAAATGAACTAGATATAAATTAAAAAAATTGGTTTACAAATTTAGTGTATACTCATTTTGAGAAAAATTGTGTTCTCATAACTTGAACCTTCACTTTAGGTCAATAAGTTTCAGCCTCAACATTTTTCTTCACATAATTTTGAACCATATTACTATAATCAATGACAGATTACAGAGAAAAATGGCAGCAATCCAGTAACATAACATAATACTTGTTTATTTCAAAAGAAATGTCCAGGATGTGGTAATCATGGAATACAACTCATCAAAACCAAGATCAAAACCCTCTGAGTATTCTAAACTTTATGAGAATGTAACATATTACAAACTGCAAGATTTATTGCAGTAATATAGAACTATAAATCGGCCGCTGATCAATAAACATTAAACGGACGATGACCTTTTCTTCAATTGGCACCATAATCCATTTTTGGTGTGAATCGTGGCCCCTGTAACAAGTTCCACAGAGTTGGGTGATCCTTTGAGACCCACATCGAACTTTTGTAATAACAGTGCCAGAGCTATAGTCGACTCCATGAGGGCAAATTGGTCACCCACACATTTTCTTGGCCCTCCTCCGAACGGCAAGAAGGCGAAATCCGATATAATCTGATAAAATCAAATACACACATTATACAACATTTTAACATTTTTTTTTCTTTTTTTTTTTTTTTTGTCGATTTGAAATAGACTTAAAACCCAGAGTTATAGTCCAAGACTGATTTACCTCGTTTGGGTAGAGTGCACCTGGGCTTCGAGATGGATCGAAACCAGCCCAACCTTCAACCTGACTCGATTTTTGCACTTGAAACCTCTCAGGCTCGAAGTCATTCGGGTTGTCCCAAAAATGCGGGGATCTATGCAGATTATAAACCTGACCAGATCAACATATATATATTTTTTTATAGATATTAGTTTGACAAGATATAGTGAAACTGTCGAAGAGAATAATAAGAAGAAGAAGAAGAAAATGTACAGAAACAAATAGATCAGTGCCGGCTGGGATTGGATATCCATCTTTGTCACCATTATAACCACCTGCAGTGAAAATAGGAAACTAAAGTTCAGTTATTATCATAGCATTTTGTTTTCTAATCTACTGATAAAGATTTCCTTCCTCAAAATCCACCAAATACAATCAGATACTGAATATTCTATAAATTAATAAACAGTAAAGAACCTGGTAATTTATCTGCCTTGAGAGACCGTCTGATGAGCAATGGAGGTTGTGGATACAAACGTAGCGCTTCCACAACAATAAGACGCAAGTATCTGTTTTTTATGTTTTTAAAAATTACAATTAAATTTGCATAAACATCAAATATGTTTAAGAAAATATTTCAGCAAGGTAAAGGCACTATCAACTACTAAAGATGTTGACAGTCTTAACTATTCTTCCACATCTGGTAAGCATGGCTAACCAATTTTGCAATCAAATTTATTTCTTTTAATATTTGGAACCTCTTCACGAGATCTGTAACTTACTCGAGTTTTTTTATGGCTTCAAATGTAGTTCTTTCCTGTCCAAGGACCGAATCAATCTCATCCTGTGCTTTCTTCATTTTGGAAGGATGCTACATTACATGAATTAATTTTTCATTACTACTTTAAAAAAAAATATATATGAACGCAAGAAAAGTCAATAAAAGAGATGAATATCTAGTGAAGAAATGAGTTCTTCTATCTCAATTTTTACCTGTGCAAGGAGGAAAATAGCCCAGGTGAGAACTGCAGCTGTTGTTTCGTGGCCAGCTATAAGCATTGTCATCAAGTCATCTCTTAGCTATTAAAGGGGTAACAAAACGTGAAATTGTGTATCATCGATAACAACAAATAACACTTATATTTTTATTTTTTTGGCTATAATTAGTTCAAAACTAAAGAGTAGTTCTTGAATTGTTTACCTGACGGTCATCAGCATCTACTCCTCTCATATCAACTAAAAAACGCAAGAGACTAGCATCCTGCAAACTTTTCACAGTGCTCAAATTCACTTTTCACGTCCTCAAAGGGCTGTAAATCTATAGTCATCTTGCCAAGTCGAAATAGAGGATAATTTAAGTCACCCACTCAAGTTCAAGATGCGCCATACCTTGATATTTAAATAGTCCCTTTGTTGCAATTTTTCGACATCAGCTTCCTATGACCCCAAAAAAAGAAAAAAAGAAAACAAACAAAAGAACATTTTAGGCAGTAAAATCCTAGTTCAAATAATAGATGAGCAGCATATGCATTTACAAGAAACCAACATGTCAACAAGAAATGCTCTTCGTCTATAAAACCCATTTCGTAGAGCTTACCAAGAGGATTGAGAAGTAAAAGCATCAATAAATATTTTGAAGCAGAAAATATACTTCCTTGAAATTATGGCTTCTGCGTATATACATTGATTACATATGAAAAAATGTTTAAATAGTACGTATCTTTTAAGTATATACTACAGTTCTTTACTACTTTTTATAATTTAGCTGCATGTATAGTCTCACCTCTCTTGTCTCTTTTGCATTTTTTATCAGGCCATCGAGACAGTCGTTGATGACTTTCAGATCATTCTGGAACTTTCTCTGGCGAGGTACGAGCCATTTTGCCAAAGGGATCTTCCAGTAAGGAATGTAGAATGTTGAACGATGTTCCGCTTCGAAAAGAGTACCATATACAGCCTATAGGTGAAAAATATATGGCATTCGAAAATTGTTTTATATTTGCTAAATTAATCAGAAGAGTGTGGAAGAGGAATACAATCATAATTCTTGAATCTGTGAAAATCAGGCAACTCTCAACTCTCGGGTTTGAAATATTGTCACATAAGTGGTCATCAGTAGTCATTATCGGCATAGAGCTATTATTTGTTTTTACTTAAGGAGACATGCCTTTTGTTTTGATGAAAGTGATTCTTTTTATGACTTCTACACCTAGACTAGAATCAATTATGATTGAAATTTAAAAGCGAACTGTACCTTAATCACTGGTGATTCTTTCGTAACAGAACCAAAGTCATAATTGAAAACACCCAGTCCAATAATATCTAGTGCCAAGCTAGAAAATTCAGCTTCTAGGTCCAGCTCTAACTTTCCCCCTCCTCTTGAAGCATCAAGTTGTAGAAGGTTCTCAAATTTTGTTATCATTCTTTCGGAGCAGTCTGTGAACAGTCTGGCCATAGCTTCCAAGTAAAGTGAGTGGAATCCAGGAGCAATAACTGAAATTGAAACTTTATATTCACTAACAAATAAAAATATTAAGGAGCAAATTATTTTTCCAATATATTACAATTAGTTCTGGCGAAACATAACATCAACTGCTTTTTCTGTAGAAAATGATGGGTTACAACTTACAAGACCTATTAACAATATTGTTACTTTTAATTTCAAATGGATTTAACCAAGAAAAATTATAATAAAAATAAAAAATAAATGAACAAGGCAAGCTGTAAAGGCTCACCTCTTCTCCTCTGTTTCCAAGTATCAAGGTCAGCCGGTATGAGCCCTTTTCCCATTATTGGTTCCAGTATATCAGCCAGAACACCCTGGATATGTTTTTTTGTATCATCCATTAGACAAAGTATAACCAATCAAGGTAACTTAACTCCTGGCGTTGTGTCAATAAATTCAATAATTCAGTTTTGTGGAGAAAAAGTGCAAAATCGGTGTGCCATGGAAGTTTATGGGCCATAAAAAATGTCTGATTCATAATACCCTAAGAAAATGGACTACCTGCAGAACAGCGTTTAGAGGATACGAACAGAAAATATTGAAAATGAAATTCATACCTTGTCATAGGAAAATGCATTTTCTCGAAGAATATGCCTCGCGACAATGGGATCTGAGACAACAATAAAAGATTTCGGCCCGAATGCAAGTTTATACACTGATCCATGCTGCAGAATTCAGCCAAAGCAAACTTTAATATAGCCACTAATAAAGAAGGAATCACTCTACAAAACAAAGGCTAACACGGGCACGTTAGCAAAATTTTGCTATTAGAAGAGGCAATATATTCTGGCAAGTTATAAGGAAATGATAATTAGAAGTTGGTTGCATTTGCATGTAGAAGCTACAAATTGAATATTAAAACTTAAAAGAGAAATCAGAAATCTAAAGCATGTTGGCAAAATATTGTTATATAAAAGAACTTGAGAGTACTTTTTTAGCCAGTAACTCATACATTTTGCAAAAAGTTCTACCATATGAAGAAAAATAACTTTTGTTCATTGGAGACAAGATCAAGGTTATCCCTTCAGCCAAAAGAGCCAACCTTTCCATGTTCTGAATGCTAATAATCATAGACCATAAACAAGAGAGCTGTAGAAACTGCTCAACAGAAATAAATAAATAAATAACAAACAAAAATAATTATGAAAGAACCATGAAGACACGAATAGATAATTAAGCGTACAGCATGACTATTTCATAACCAACACATCTAATTAATAATAGTACCGATTAGTGCATAAGAATGTACCTCTAAGAACCAGTCATAAAGGGCGAAGAAAAGTGGCCTGCCGAAAAGATCCGAAACTGCACCTTCTGCAATAGGCATATTTCCCATCTTTCCTCCACTCAAGAAATTCGTGAGGAGGTTGCTTGCATTGTCCAATAAGTTCATCGTTTTAGCTGTTTTGGTTTCATCGGTACCCGTAGATGATTGACACCTGTATTTAGTAAAAGTATCATCACCGCTCGAAACTTCAGGCAATGCCACATCAAATTTCATCAGGAAACTCGGTTAATTCAAACTTATTCATGTATGTGTGTGTGAGAGTACACATACTGCCCTTATCCAATAGTTTTTAGCTGAACTTAACACAAACCGAATCCACATTATTTGCGTCTCAGCGAAGAATTTCACTAACTTATTCAGAAGCAAGCAGCATGAAATGAAAACCCAATACTTGGAATTAGAACAACAACTCCATTAACTACTGGGATAATAACTAATCAAGAAAACCCAACACAGTAAAAATAAAAAATAAAAAAATCACCACCATGCTCTGCCAAGATAATTAGCAATTGTACAACAACAATTATTTTATTCCGTTCATTTCAAAATACCCAGCTCCAAATTTCAATTTCACCGCCAAAAATCAATCACGCTTCAGCTTATTTTCACCTGATTGAAGAAACCCTCTTCGACTTGCTCAGCAGTGAAGAAACTGAGGAAGAATGAAAGCGGGAGGACGAGAACTCGCGCGAACGGTTCACGGCGAGGCATGAATAACTTAAGCTCTGCACAGCGGACGCCATTGTTGGTAGACTATTGAAGCTCAGACCTGCCTACTGCTTTTATTGCTGAAAACAGTTGACTACAAAAAATAAAATACCGACTGAAAATTGGCGGAAATTGGGGTCATCCCACCTAGAAAAAGGTGGAAGCTTTTCAAGGATAATCCATTAATAAAAGCCTCCCAATCCGAGTCCCAAGCTCTGAATTTTTGTTGCTATAAAATAAGCTTACGATGAGCTAGCTGTGCACATGCAGTAAGATTCCACTTATGAATTTGTTAGGTTTGTTTTTTTTTTTAATGCCTTTTTCACGATTTTATGATAGTTTAGAATAAAAAATATGATGCCAATGAGCTCTAGCACCTCAAATTATATGTTATGAGTTTGGATTTTTTTACTTAAAAAAAAAAAACAAAAAATGAAGTAGACAAGAACAAAACAAAAAAAAATCTTATGGAAATAAATAAAAAGCACGTATTCTGAAAATACGTTTTTTTTTGTAATTTTAATTGAAAAACGTATTTGCATAATACGTTTTTCATTGAAACACATTCTCAGAATACGTGTTTTTTATTTTGGTCCAGATTTTTTTTTGCTTTTATTTGTGTCCACTTGTGTTTTTTTTGTTTTTTATATATAAATTTCCCGATGAGTTTTTGTGTATAGCGAATCGTTTTTTTATTATATTACTTAAATATCCCTAACTCAAGGTAAATTCAAGCCAATCTATATCTATATCTATATCTATATCTATATATCTATATCTATATATATATAAAAAGGTGGTTGGAAAAATACATTAATAGAAAGTTTGACCAAATAAATTAATGTTTGACTTATTATTAATGGAAAGTTAAAAAAATACATGTGAATCTTTAGTAACAAAATTTGAATGCTATTTTTTGGTAACTAATTTGGAGATTCTTATGGCAAAATTTGAATTTCATTTTTTTTGTATCATATTTTATTTTTTATTTTTGCCAGAATTTAAATCATATATTTTTTGGTAATAAATTTGGAGATTCTTATGCAAAAAATGTGTCAATTATTTAAGAAAACAATTCTAAATATAAATTAACTTAAAAACCGTACAAATTGGATACAAATTTTGGAAACAAATAGTTGTATAATTCTTAACTAATTCTTCCAATCTTATTGAATAATTTTTTCTTTAAAAAAAAGTGTGTAAATTGGATAAAACCACGTGCAATTTTTATTTTAGAATAAAATTGATATTTGGATTGGACAGGATGTACATTCACAATTGTGTCCACATTTTTTGGTAACAAAAGCGGTTCATCTTTGATATATAAAAATTAAAAAAATCTTAAAATATCCTTAAATATTTAACTTATTTGAGATCAAGATTTGTTAGGTCTTTTTAAGATTAGTTATGATTTAAAAGAAAAAAACATTATACAAAATTTCACTCTAAATCTCACATTCACACTTAAGAATTCATAGTATTCCTCTAAAATTTGATCATCTTAAAAGTCTCATATCTTAAAAAATCTCAAAATGGCACTCAAAATTCTAAACGAATACATATTATATGCCTATATCGTCAATTTATAATTATTATTTAATATTATTTACCCGTGCATCGCACGGGCCACGTAATAGTTTGAAGAAAAAAAATATTGTGTGAAATATAAACTTTTATTGAAAACCGAGTGGAATTGAAGCAAAATTCGAGGTAATGAATTGTGAGTATATATTTTATGAGTTAAATCAAGTCTTAAAAAGTCGAGCTTGAAATGAAATTGAAGCAGTAGTGAAAATAATCGAGCATGAGTCAATGCTCAACTCGACTTAATTAGTTTGCAGCTTGGACTTAATCTGAAGCAACAGTGAAAATAATCGAGTATGAGTCAGTGTTCAACTCAGCTCGATTAGTTTGCAGTCTAGTACTAAATTATTAATGTCCATTAAAGTAAGGCGACTGCTGGGCTTAATCCAATAAAGCCCAATAAACAAATACACTAGATAACTGGGCTTGCCATTAATAAAATCCAATCTTGGCATCATTTTTATTGGTTTCAATTATTCGAGTTGGCGGCCCATTTCTACTCCTAAACATTGTGGGATAGGTCAAAGATAAAATTGTTCCATTTCATATATTTGAACAACCCGATTATGATGCTAATTACGTGATTTTTGTGACAATATTGTATAATTTAAGCTGTTTGGAACTAATCATTCTCCTAATCAAGGCAGATAATAGATAATACGTACATAAAAATGTGGCAGGAAATGAACATAACGTATATATTAGGTATTTGATTGAAATATTATGAAACCTTGAAATGTATTTTGATGCACACATAGTAGTGAGATAGGTGAATTGTTTGTAACTTACACTAATGTTAATTATACCAACATTTAATTATACCAACATTGGTCTTTCAAATTTTCCTTCTATTTGCCTCCGACACTGAATGATAGGTTTTTCTATAGACTGATGAATTGTAAATGGTAAATAATTTTGTTTGCCTTTTTTGAAATGATACTCTAATATTCTACTATTATATTCTCAAAGTTAACTAGACAAAGAAATAATAGATGTGTATATATTTTATTTTTAGCAACCTTAGTGAAATGATACTCTAATATTCTACTATTATATTCTCAAAGTTAACTATACAAAGAAATAATAGATGTGTATATATTTTATTTTTAGCAACCTTAGTGAAATGATACTCTAATATTCTACTATTATATTCTCAAAGTTAACTAGACAAAGAAATAATAGATGTACGTATATTTTTTTATTTAGCCACAATGAGATTCTTGATTATGTGAATGTGAATGTAATAAGGAATGTTTGAAAATATTGGTACACGCATGTGTTTGATTGGCGGCGCTAATTATGTTGCCACCTTTGACCAACGACTCGTAATTCATCTAAGATCCATTTTAATTTCACACTTTTTTTTTTTTTTCTTTTTTTGTGTGAAAAGATTCAGATTTTGATAAGGGACAAAACCATTGATACTTAAGCTTCGTGTTTCTTANAAATAAGAGATAATTTTTGTGATAATCAATTATCAAAGGAAGGTGTATGAGTCAAATTTTGTGATATCTAATATGATCTTTCACTTATTACAATCACCACCAAACCTTACTAGCCAACAAAAATTTCAAGATAGAGAATCATTACGTATTAAATAACATTGTTGATCAACCAATATTTAAAAAATTCATTTGTGTTTAATAAACTGAGTCGCTCAATATGAGATAAGGAGAAATATATTACCATCGAGTTAGGATTGAATTAGTCTGTCAGAACAGTTGAACAATGCCGCATGATAAGATATCAGATATGGTACTAGTAAATAGTAATCTATATATATATAATAAGAATTACCATTTTTTAAAAATGGCAGGTCATTTCTATGGTCAAAGACGCTTAGCATTAATTACTTTCTATTAATGATAATTTTTTTATTTTTAATTTAAGAACACGGACAGCATTAAATGCAATCCTTACCATGTGGAGTTTGTTACATTAATGACCACATTATCGGGAAAGATTCGGATGACTACATAAAATTTGACAGTTTTGTATTTTTAAATAAAAAAAAGATTCGGCTAATTAAATAAAAAATTGTTGCCACGGCTATATCACTCAGTTCCGCAAGCAGTAAGAATTTTTTATTAGGATACACAAATACACAGTACGATAAGATTTTTTTATTTGAATACACAAATACACAGTGCGATTACTTCGTCGGAAATAAATTATTGGATCTTTTGTTAAATTCCTAAGGCTGTTATCGAATAAACTCGAGCGCGTTTCTTTCTTTCTTTTTTTAACAGAAAAATGGCAAATGCATTTGTTTTGATTGGCAGCTTTCATTTGTTAATAAAAAATAAATTATTTGTTAACAAAAAATTAAACACGGCAACATTTATTATAAATTAATAAAAAATTTTATTTTCTTTGTTTAAATTTAGTCTTCTTATTTAAATTGCCAATGGTTTAATGGTAAAACATTATGTAAATAGACTTAGATATATGTATCACATATCATTGCCTAAATTAATGATTTTATTATTTTTAAAACTAAAAAATCTTAAATTGAATCTAATTTATTTGTTAAAGGATATTTTGTTAGTGTCATGTTCTATTATAATTCAAAATTTCAAATTGCCGATATAAATATGAATTTGGATAGTTTAAAGAAACAAAATCCCTTATATGAAGGAATTTATTCCTTGAAAATACACATATTCTTTAAAATGCATAATCAATCAATTGATCTAAATTTTTGGAAAATTACTATGTTTATTTTTTTTTTAATATGCATAAAGTAAAAATAATTAATCTTTGGGTCTTTGCTCTCCTTGAAGTCGAGCTCCACGCGAGAGGTTATAACATATGCTCGACTAAAAGGAGAGGCATTTTTTATTAATATTCATAAAGTAAAAATAATTAAATCATCGTTAGATATATAATTTATACTATCATTTGGTGTAGACATTTATTATATGAATTTTAATATTGAAAATACTTTATTACGTGAATGTGATGTAGTTCAAACTTCAAATAATATATTAATTATAACAAAATTTTTATGACAACATGCTTAATAATTTATAAATACTTATATATCATTTTATTAATAATTTTGTAAATAAAATAATATTTTATTATAATTTTTATTAATGTACAATAAATATAAAGTTTTCAGAACTGGAACGTCATCAAAACGATCAAGTTGTTTTATTAAATTATTTGTGTTTTGTTCAGATTTTAATTTATAAATATTTTAATATATATAATACTTTTTGTAATAAATTTAAATAAATGAAAATACTTAAATGTCTAAACAGTTTATAAATTCAAATATTTAAACTAATCGATAAAGAGTTTATAAATCTCTATTTTATTTGAATATGTAATTTTATTTATAACAATTTTAAATGTAACAAAATTTATTTAAAAAATCGACATCGATCCTACCAGTCAAACCGACAGGTGTTGACAGATACGATAGCAAATATTTTAAACAAGCAAGTAGACTGGTTATAAACCGATTCTCGGTCCATCCGGCTGGACTGTGTCCAACTCGATTTAATTTAAAAACAATGAGTAAATCATAATTAATGTTATTTATATATTTAATTTATAATACAATCGTAATATTGTTTCCCCGTGCTTCGTACGGGCCACGCACTAGTGTTACATAAACACACTCAAATTTAACAACTACAAATGAATTTGGAGGGCATAAAAGTCAATCCGGACAAGATAAAAATGATTGGAGTGGCAACTGGGCCACGTTCGGGTCGTTGACTAGGAGATCAGGCTCGTTGACTCGGGTTCAAGGCGAGAACCGAAACTAAACCAATGTTTGGATCGTAAATTTTTGTAAGGGCCCATTTGCCATATAAGGGTTTGTGAAAACATGAACCGTCGGGTCGGCCTAAAACCTGTCAGGCCCAATTGGCCATTTGATCACACTATGGCTTGTGGATGACGTAATGGCTTACATGTACACTCCAATCGCATGGAAGAAAAAAAAAAAGGTCTGCTTCCCGGAAGCAGCACGGCGACCCAGTCTTCTAGAAAACCACCTAACAATTTGGACACACTCGAAAAATAAAAACCAAAACAAACTTTTTACTTTTTTTTTTTCCTCAAGCAATAGAGATTTTTATAAAAGTTACAAAAGTGCAAAAGAAGGATCACCCAAAAGTTGAAGGGTACAACCAATAGTTGAAAGATTGAAAGACAGATCCGAAGATCGCCTAAAACCTAACTAGCAACGGTAGAACAACACACTATCAACACACACAATCCAACACAAACAACAAAACTACAAAGCTCCTAACTAGGAGAATCAACAATCCCAACAGGATAATGTCCGCTCACACTCGAGTAAAAAACAGAGGCCAACGACTCAAACCAAAAACACAATCCTAATAATCAAACTAGGCAAAACAAACACAGGAAAAGACACAAGAACCACTAAAACTACCAAAACGAGCCCTTCCCCAGCAAATCGACCGAACGACACCCAAAGAGAAATCAACAGCTTGAGAATCCATTCCTGAAACTGTCGAACCGCCTAATTGTTAAATTAAACGACTATAACTCAATACGGCTCGTTAAGATTCGAGTTCGGCTCAAACAAGCCGAGCTCGAGCTCATTTGAAACTCGTTTTGTTAACGAGTGGAGCTCGACTCGACTCGATAAAACTCGTAAAGATAAGTTTTATATACTTTCCTATAATTCGGTTCGTAAAAGATCAAGATCAACTCGTTAAGGCTCGAACTCAACTCATTATTATTGATAAACGAGTCGAGCTCAGCTCATTTACAGGTATGAGTGATGAATGTTGAATTCTATATTAACCTTGCTCCATATTATAATAATAACAATAANGCTCTCAATCTCAATACTTATCAACACTAATTTAATTAACTCCTATCAATATATGGCTATAAGCCAAGCCATGTCCAATCCTAGCAACTGGCTCTCACAACCCTACCACACCGACTTTTTCACCGTCGGACAAACCGAAAGTACCCCTCCAACCGCCGCCGCCGCCGCCGCCGGAGCCCACAGGAACGGATTCAGCCTCAGCCCCGACCGTGGCCGCGTGGCCAAGCCGGCACGCCGCCGATCGAGGGCTTCCCGCCGGACTCCGACCACACTGTTCAACACCGACACGGCCAACTTCAGGGCCATGGTGCAGAGATTCACCGGCGGCCCCTCCGCCGCGTACGCCGCCGAACCTCAGCTCCCGAGCGGCGGTGGACTCAATTTCATCGAGCATATGACTTCCAGCGGGGTTCGGCCGGCGGCGCTCGGCCTTGGAAGTCAGTATCCGAGCCAGGAGATGATGTTCTTGATGGGCGGTGGCGGAGGGGCGGCGCCGGCGCCGGCGCCGGAACCTGGGAACGTGGATAGGAGTTATGAAAACTATTTTAGCTAAACAAATTAAATAGGTGACCTGCTTTTTTTATAATTATGTCACTTCAATTAATCTCTCTCTGTCTTAGTTTGAATATAGTGTTTTGTTGTTTCAAGTTATGACTTTTAGTTTGATGGGAAATCAAATAGGAAGAAATCAAAAGAGATTTCCTATTTTGCAAGCTATCAATTTGAATGGGGTTGAGTAATCAATTTGTAGGTGAAGTTGTTGGCAGTCGTTCAAAGATTATTGAGTTGTTGTCTGATTTAGACTGACCTTTGAAGATAATATTGGCAGTTGATTATATTTATCTCATTGTGCAAAAGTAACGTATGATTTGTAGCTTAATTATTTGAAACAAAACAGAGATGAGTTCTTTTGAACTCAATAATTTGTGTGCGCATGAAATGAAACGGAAACTTGAGGGATGGGTTTATTAATTTGTTTATTCTTGCTTAGTTTTTCAATCGGACCGGCTTGAGACCCGGTCGACCCCAAGCCGAACCGGTTTAGGTGGGCTATTTGGATCGTGTAACAATGGACTCGGTCAAACCCGATCTTGACCTAGTCGACCCTCAGCATTGATCTAGCCGGGTTAATCCGGTGACCCAGAGACATGCCGGGTCGATTCTCAAACTGGGTATAAAAACTATGGACTCTTGTATGAAAAGAGAGAGAAAATGTCAAGTTATCTAGTTTCTTTTAATATGAGTGGCGGTCTAGTCCCACCAAGCCCGCGACTTGAGATGAGAACATGATAGGTTTTTCCACTTGTGATGATGGCAAGTCAACCCGCCCCGTTAATGGACAAGCTTTAATGGGCTACGACTCCACCTGCTCATTTCGAGGATTGTGGGTAAAAGTCCACGAAGGTAGAAAATAATTCTGCTATCTAATACAAGAACATTTGACGATGAATTTCACTTTTTTTTAGTTATATGTGTAGATAGGAGTTTGAGCTCAAATTAAAACTTTTACATATATACGTGTGCATGTATTTGATCAAACAGTTCAAACTCAAATTTAGAAGTTTAAACCGTAAGATTAAAATGCACCTACACGAGCATGTTTGTGTGATCAAACACTTCAATCAGGTGTGCTATACCCTCAAATCCTACCCACTTGACCATGAATTACTTTTTAGACTGTTAACGTACGTAATCAACAACAGATTGCAATGAAGTGTAAAACGTAATTAAGATGAACGGACATAAATGTGATGACATAAAAGCATGCTTTATTAAGCTTGCATGTGTTTCTTGTGGTTTTTCAAGTGTTTTATGATATATTCAATCATTTAACCTCAATCAAGTTATTACAATTTATACTAGGTAAACAAACAAAGTCATCATGACTTCTTGATGAGATACGGCGTGTGTCTGAGGATTAGCTGCATGCAACATACACGCATAGTGGCATTGTGCCTTTTTGGAGACGAGACATATATCTAGTTTGTGGGCGGTAACTCTTTTCATTAAATGGTGACATCAGCATGAAGAAACTGCTATATGTGATAAGATCAGTACGAAGGAAGCTCCACATAAATAGTGCGATGTCAAAATTTTGTTCATGAGAGACAAGACAATGTGGCTCTAGGGAACGCAAAATGTCGATATGATCTTTCAGAAGACGATTCACGACATTATTGATGATGACACATGTCAGTTCTGTTTCTAAATTAATTAAACGTTATTTCAGATCAACAAACAATATGCATAATAAGGCCTTTATCACTAACGAAGCGAAAAGGACGAGCTTTAATATATAATTCTTAGCTTTCTCATTAGATAGATGGGGGCCGGTGGATTTCACAACCATGAAGCCTGGACACACAGTGGGTGGTAATAAAGACAAAAATCAATTTATCTATTAAAAACACTTGATTTGAATTGTGTAATTAATGTGACATGTAAAATCATAAATAATTGACAAAACAGAGAGATAATTTAAAATAATAAGCACAACTAGTATTCTATCATATGCACATGTACATATGCAAGTAAAATATTATATTTTAAATTATAAGTTATATAATGAGTATATCACATTTTATAATTATGATCATTAATAGCAATGAACATTATAGTTTTAAATGATTTTACTTATATATAAAAATTACATATATTGCATAAAATGTAATGAATAATATGTTTTTTTTTCACAAATTTAAGGGTTTATAACCCATTAGTTAGTTAAAAAATATTCAAAGTATTATTATTATAGCAACTATTTAAGAAATTTTAAGTGATTGGTTATATCATTAAAAATCAATAAGGTACATAAAAAAATCGCCTAATGTAATAAAAATGAATGGATAATATTAATTTTAAAATATATAGCGTGGAGAAAATATGTTTCTATAACATTATTTATAAGTGTGTAACTTACATACAACCCTTAACATAAATTTATAATTAGTTAATAATATTAGTAATTATTATATAATAAAATAATTAAAAAATATTGTCACAATTAGGTAATGCAAAAAGCAACTGTTATTTTCCATATTTAGATGGAAATAAAATGAGAAGGAAATTTTAAGAAATAACATTAATTGAATAGTCAGTAATTATACATATATATATAATTAATGTAAAAAAATAATTAATGTTGGTCAGTAACGATTTTTAGCGAAAAAGTACCACGTAAGTATAATTAAATATGTTTTATTTAATATTTAGCCAACAATTATATATATAGATGTGTGTAATCAAGAGCCACGTACCTCTAACTTATACTTAGATCAAAATAATAGAAAAGTCTAATTACATCCAAATAGCATTGCATGGTGCTTAATGAATCAAAAACCATGGGCATTGCAAACTAATCATGTGAATGCAAATCTAAAGTCCGAAAATTAGCTATGACCGCTCTAAAGTTTAAAGTTTAAACCAATATGTTGCGGTCTAGACTCGAGTCTAGACACACTGGTAAAAAAAAATACTGAATTATATTCCACAAATAGAGTTTATAAGTTATTCTGGAAATATACGATAATTTCCTTATTATATAACTTTCTTAATGGCCTAAAATTCCCTCATCTCATAAGAAACTAGCTACTTTCTCAATTTTTATTTTTGCACCAAAAGTATTTAATATTTATCCATGATAGTTCTAATGGGTAAATGGTTATATTTTTTACAATCGTTATACATTTTCAAACTTGCATATACTTTATTACCAATGTATCATGTCATCACAAACTAGAATTTAGTGTTGCTTTATATCACATTCAACAATGTCGCAAGAAAGAAAAAAACCATATATTTAGAAAAACGACATAAATAAAAAAGGAAAAATAAGGCCGTGATATCGGGAATATTCTCATTCGGGTTAATTCGGTTCTTGTTGCTATTACTTCGAAAACAATTTTGCAGAGAAAAGCTTCAGAGAGGGACCAATAACGGTTGCGATGGGTGAGAGCGGTACTGCCGTGGCCGCCCGGGAGCAGAGCCAAGCCGCCGACAGCCACAAAAACGACGCCGTTTGCAGCTCCGGCGACACTCCTGCGCCGTTTGATCGCCCGGTTCGTGTGTACGCCGATGGGATCTACGATCTCTTTCATTTCGGCCACGCTCGATCCCTCGAACAGGCCAAGAAGCTGTACGGATTTTGTCGTTTTTATTTGTTTTGTTATTGATCTTTTCTGGGTTTGTGTCTTATTAGGTTTTTTCTCTGTTTTGGTTATGGGTTGGGGTTAATATTATGTTTCATGGTCGCAAGGTTCTTGATTTTATGTCTTTGTGGTTCTAATTAAGTTTTTGAACGGGATTACGACTAAAGACTCGAACTTTTCCCCCCAATTTGTTCAGATCAAATTTAGTGCTCGACTTTGTCTTTGGCTTTGCCATCGATTTCTTCTGAATATGGTGAAATCCGTTCATTAGATGTTACCAATTTGTTTTCTGGTCGTGTAGTGGTAGTTCTCAAAGGCTATGTTCTTACTTTTCTCTGTTTCGAGTTGCTGAGTTGATTTTTCCGTATTTGTTCAGTAATGATATGCTCGATTTTTGTAAATATTTTCTTTTGTGAGTCAATAGCATCTGAATCTGATGCATGTTGAATTAGTTCTGGTTAAAATCAATGCCATTAACAAGAGTCATATCCTTGTAAATTTGTAGGTTCCCGAATACATACTTGCTCGTCGGGTGCTGCAGTGATGAGGTCACACACAAGTATAAAGGAAAGACGGTTATGACCGAATCCGAGCGCTATGAATCCCTTCGTCATTGCAAGTGTGTTTCCTTTATCCCATTTTCTTATCTTTTCCTGATTTTGCTGCCTCTGCAAGATTTGTGCAGGTTGATCTTTCTATACTTGGTGTATCTTGATGAGATTGGTCAGTATGAGGCCAGCTATTCAGCATTCCATCACGTTGACTTGAATTTTCATTTCTATATTGGCTACAATTGAAAAATTGCAATGTGTGGATTTAAGTGATACCGAATTGCGTTTGAGGGAAGAATGCTAATTATGTGCAAATTCATTGTGTTTTATTGTAAAAACTTAATGTTGTTGCAGTACACATGTGAATATCGGACAATTTGATATCTAAAATCTGTTGTCTGGCAGGTGGGTTGACGAGGTTATTCCTGATGCCCCATGGGTGATTAATCAAGAGTTCCTTGACAAGCATACTATAGATTATGTGGCTCATGATTCTCTTCCGTAAGACCCTTTTATCTGTAAACATTCAGATCAAACTTCATACTTCGTGAGATCTTTCTTACGTTTATTAGAAAAACACCGGTTGAATTACTATTGCTATTGCCTTTTTTGAATTGTATGACCAAATTCGTGGTACTTCACTTGTTTTAATCAATTTAACATGAATAATTGATTCAACTAGGTGTATGATCAATTATCTGCAAGTGTTGAGGTGCTAACTTGTATTTAATAGCATATGCCTGGAAAATTCTGCATGTCGAAAGCAATCTAATGCTCAATAACTATGCATTGTAACTTAGTAATTTGTTTTTCCAAACCTTTGGTGCACTATAACTTTTCTTGCAGTTATGCTGATACAAGTGGAGCTGGAAAAGATGTTTATGAATTTGTAAGCATTCAATTAACTGTATATCGACTTTATAATATAATTCGCACCATTTTCAGTGGATTTGATTTAGTTTCTTTTTATCTTATTCTTCTCGTTCCTTTCTTCCACCAAACTTTGTTGTTATAATAGGTTACCTGGTTTTCAATTTAGGTCAAAGCTGTGGGAAAATTTAAAGAGACTAAAAGGACTGATGGAATTTCGACCTCTGATATTATTATGAGGATAGTAAAGGATTATAATCAGTATGTGATGCGCAATTTGGATCGTGGGTATTCAAGAAAGGAGCTTAATCTTAGTTATGTTAAGGCAAGTTTATTCTCTCCCCCTTTCTTTCACGTGAATTGATTTCTATGCACCTAGATTCATAAATCTTGCTGCAAACCTTTTAATTCCTTCTTAATTATATGCTTTTTCGGTTAGGCTAGTTATTGAACTTTTATTGTTATTTTTCTAGGAAAAGCGTCTGAGGGTGAGTATGAGACTGAAGAAGCTGCAGGAAAAAGTCAAGGAGCAGCAAGAGAAGGTGGGGGAGAAGGTACAGCTTCTCCGTGGTGGATAAATATTGTTTTAATAATATTTATTTATTTTGTTCCTCCATCCAATGTTAAATACACTCAACTTACTGAATCCCAAGAGCTCTCATTTTACCACTGCTAACACGCATATAGTTTTACGTTCAGAATTACTAACCCCCAAATCTGGGGTATATCGATCAAAACCTCAAACAACAACCTTAGTTTTCTATTAAATCCATTCCCCCATCTTAAAGTACCCAAATCAAGAAATATGGACTTTTATTTTTTCCATAGGCGATCCCCTTTGTTTTCCCCTCTCATATAGCCATGCTCTTTTAAAGACTTTAAAGAACTTATTGGTGTATCTTCTGACATGGTTATATCTTTTGATGTTTTTAATATCTTGCGTTGTTCAGATACAAACTGTTGCAAAAACAGCCACCATGAACCGTAACATGTGGGTTGAAAATGCCGACCGGTGGGTTGCTGGATTCCTTGAAATGTTCGAGGAAGGCTGTCATAAAATGGTGAGTATCTTCTTTTTGTTGTGCCCCCGATATCCTAGGTTTATATACTACATCAAATATATATGTGGAAAATAAAAATGAAAGCAATGGTGAAAAGCAGTGTTGAAACAAGCAAATGTATGGTTCTTTTCTTTTCCTTTTTCTTATTAAAAATAACTAAAGCTGTGTTTGGTAAGCGTATAAGCTACTAGCTTATTTGATTAGCTTATATGCTTCGTGTATTCGAATGAGCTTGGTTTGATTGGACAATCTTTTTTAAAAAGCGCGAGCTTATATCATAAGCTTCATTGGGTAGCATTTCAAATAAGCCTATTGAAAATTTTTATTCAACTAATTTTACCGAACACTTTTATCATATAAGCTAGTTTTTTCAGCCATAAGTTATAAGCTATCAACTATAAGCTCAAAATTGACTTAAGAGTTCATAGGCTATCAGCTATAAGCTAGCTAGGTTTACCAAACATAGCCTTATACACTTTCAACTCTCAGGGCACTGCCATTAGGGATCGAATTCAAGAACGACTCAAGGGACAAAGGGCTTTGATGAATGGTGACGAGAGTGATGATGAGTATTATTACGATACGGATGATGAAGAATATTATTATGAAGATGAAGAATATTATGACAGTGACGAGAAATGAAACATTGTATGTATATTAAATCATTTGTAGTTTGCAACCTGGGCTTGTCTTCTTCTTCTTCTTCTTCTTCTTCTTCTTCTTCTTCTTCTTCTTCTTCTTCTTCTTCTTTCTTCTTCCACCACTTTATTTTATTTTCTTTCAAGGATTAAGCTTGTATTATGGATTCAACTCTTGGACTTGGATTGATTGTAAGTTTAATTTTTCTTTGAATTAATTCATGCATAATGGTTAATTTAGGAGAAATACTTTGTTGTGTTGAATCAATAATGAGTAGCTAATCCTTTCTGCTAGGGATAAGGGATGATTGTTCTTGATTGATTTCGTTATTATTGGGCTTTAATTTGTTCCTGCTTGTGCGAGTTGCTTTAATTANATTTAAGGACCCAACCAGACAAAGGGTGTCCACATAATTTGACTACTTTGAGGTGTGCCTTTATATTCTATCCTCATTTTGAATGGTGGATATAACTAAAAGTTTTTATAGTCTTCTTGTTAAGTACGGAGGATTTGATCCTTATCTTTTTGGTGTTTTGTATATAGTGGTGTTCTAAGAAGCGATTATACATAAAGTGGATTGAGGCCTAAAGTTTTTGTCAAATGAAATTAGAGGAAGGTTTAGAAGTATCAAATATTCTTTTTTCATTTTTATATTTCATCTCGTGTTTTATCCTGTTGAATGGATCACGGATGTATTAGCTTATTGCATAGAGATGTTAAGTAATAGATTAGTAGGGAATAGGTATTTATAAAATGACTAATATTATAATCCTTTCTTTCAAAAATATCATTTATTAAGCTTTTCTGAATTATGGTTTTGGATTAAAAATTATTAGTATAACGTTTGTGTACTGCACAATAGTTGAAAATAATGACCGGCAAGTAAAAGAGTTTATATTTTTATTGTAAAATAAAAAAATAAATTTACTACAAATGCTAAAGAAAAAACAGGGTTTGTAGTATTATTGCAAAATTTGAAATTACTGAATTTGTACACAATATAATTAGTTATATTATAATATTTTCATTTTTCTCGTAACACGAATTTATTTGAGGCCCGATCCTCTCATACTCTTAACACTGGATGTTGTAATGTATGGATAAAAAAAAAGATTTTGTAATGTAAAGTTGACCATTGTCAAAAAGTAATATTCAAACAAAACTGCTTTACACCATGATTAAAAAGTTATTCCAAATTATAATATTTGAAGGAATGTTGCTGGATTATATATCTAGCTAATTCACCAACCAAACATCTAATTTAGAACTAAAACATTGATCACCAAACAAATTTAGTCCATATTAATAATGATCCTTTTATATAACCTAGACCATAACTAGTCAAAATTTCATTCTCATGAAAAATCAGATTAATATATAATAACTTTCTTTTGGTTTTATATAATTGAACTCTCAACCATAATTAATGACGTGTTACCAAAAATAAGTTCTTAAATGATATAGAGTTTATTTATTAAACTAGTAATAATAATAATAATAATAATAATAATAATAATAATAATAATAATACTTTTTCTTCTTCTGAAACCAAGAAAGGTCAATGGGCATTCATGGAGTGGCTTGCAATGAGTCGCTTGTTACATCGGTCCATAAGAAATATCCCAAAAGCGCTTTAAATAATATTCGGTTTCATTTTCACCGGTCATTGTGAAGCTGCTTGCCTTTTTAAAGCTATGATATGGATTCGGGCATCTTCGGGTCATTCGAACAATCAACTGTGCAAGATTTGAAAATTTCCATGAATTTTCCACTTGTTTTGCTTTAGCAACCTTTTATTTTGACTTGGATTTTAAGCAGGATTGTAAACGAGTCGGGTCGAGTCGCGCATCAACCTTATTGAGTTGGACTCAATTTTTCCAATGCTACTTGAACTCAATGCGTTCGATGTTTTAAGGCTTGGCATGACTTAAAAAAATATACAAATGTTCGAGACCGGCTAGAATGTAACAGCCTGGATTTTTAAATAAAATTTCTCATCAACTATTTTTTTATTTTTTTTAGTTTTGCTTGAGTTTGAGTATTTAGGTAAATTATACTTATACTTGAGCAACTCTCCCAGTTCATTTGCAACTCTAATTTAGCAATACCTTCATAAATTAATTGAAGCTCACTTAATAAAAAATTATATTTGAGCTCCCTTAATGAGGTTCATTAGAGCTTTTCCAATATTACACCACATTCTATTATAGAGTAGTGCGAAAAACTTTTTTCTGATGTTGCACTACATTTTCGCATTACTCTGAAGATATAAACAATATTGCGCTATATGTAACGCGGTACTATTCACCGCGCTATAATTTTTTTTTTAAATTTTAGTTTTTTAAATAATTTTTACTTCTAAAAATTATTTTGATAAAATATATATCAATAAAATTATTTATTTTATTAAATAATTTAAAATTTTGAATTATAATTGTATTTAAATTTTATTCAGTACTAATATATTTCATTTAGTGTAAATGTAGCGTGATCGACTGTGGAGGAAAGTTGAATTTTGGTATTCTCTGCTCTAGAGTAGAACTTTACACTAGAGTAGAATAAATAACTGAAGATAGTTTTACATAAATCAAACTCTATAACTTGCACTATTTCGGTCCATATATAGTTGCTAATGACAGATGTATCATTTAGTATTAGTCATTCAATCTTTATAAATAACTAGTATTCAACCTGTGCATTTGCATAAATATAAATAAATATTATAAGTTATTTATATACGTATAATAATAAATTATAAGTTATATAAATATATTTTAAATGTAGAATATTATAAGTTATATTTATACATATAGTATTAAAATTATAAGTTAGATAATAGTAGAGAAATACTAAGGAACCATCTGATGGCTTCGTTATGGAGCCATTGGACCCATGTGGCATCACATGGGACAATGAAATTGTAAGTGTAGGCCCCATGTGATGCCCCATCGGTCCGATGGCTCCATAACGGAGCCATCGGATGACTCCTTAGCATTTTCGGATAATAGTATTATATTTTAAAATTTGATTATTGGTTAAAATAAATAGTACATAACGATTTGATTGCATATGAATCACTATATTGATTGCATAATATGTAATAAATAATTTAACTTTTGTAATTTTGAAGGATCATGACCAATTAATTAGCTGAAAAATATAACCATTGCTTAAGCGGTTTTAAGAAACTTTACTGTGACAATAAAAAAAAATTATTTAAAAATAATTGCTTAATCAGATAAAAAAAATATTGATTTTAGAATAAATAACTCGATCAAAAAGTTTTTACAATATAATATTTTATGTTTATGTAACTTTCATATATCATTTAGTGTAAAATATAATTACTAATTTTAATAATAACTATTGTACGATTCAATAAAAAATATAATTATTATAAAATGTAACGATTTTTGTCTTAATTAACCAAAAAAAGTGTAACGAGATATTTTGTCATTAATGCTACATAGATAAAATTTATTAAGTCTAATTTAATGATCTGTCACATAGATAAAAAAATTTATGATTTATTTATTAGGTTTTATTTAATTACATGCTAGTAATTATATATATATAGATTATGAAATAAAATTTATTTGTTTTGATTATTTATTAGTATAGAAATTAAAATGACCTTTAACCAACAAAAAAAAGCCATTCTTAAAACCTCATTTTATAGTAGTGAGCTAATTAGATTTGCATCATTAAAAATATTTTTTTCAGATATTTTGTTTTGAGTACAACTTTTTTGGAATTTTTACTATGCGAGTTTTTTGGACTTTGAAACTTATATATAGGCAATTTTTCTAGATAACACGTTGAAACTTATATATAGAATATTTTTCTAGATAACACGCAACATGAATTTCACAATTATTCATAATTTGCAACTTCTCGTATATCTTGACCATATACACATATATTTTTGTGAATAATTGTATGGTCAAGATGCACTCAAAGTTACAAACACATATATTTTTGTGAATAATTGTATGGTCAAGGTGGTCACGGGTGTCCGAGGTTCCATCATAATTCTCCATCTGAGGCATCTTGAAGCTAGAGGGGATTTCCTCTTTCATGATGCTATCAACAAAAGGGGACTCGGTGGGTGAGAAAATATTCGACGTCGGCTTTCTGACCTCTTTCCACACCACTCCAAGCCTTTCATTCATCTCCTCAAGCTTTTGCTTAAGGTTGCCATTCTCATGTGTGAAATTTCCTCTTTCGAGGTCTCTTTTGGATCTGACCTCGGTTTCATCATTGTGGGCTTTAGAACCTTCGCCATGGCTAGTTTCTCGATTCTTTTGACCTTGGGATGCTTCTTTTTCCATCATACCCTTCATCAGGGTCTTTAGTTCAAGGAGTTCTTCTTCGACCCTCTGCAGTCGTTCGGCCTCTGTTCCAAGGCCGCCGGACCTTGTGAACTTTGGCCTTGGCTAGGCTTAGCCTCCGAGTTTGATTGGCTTT